TCAGCCTCCCGAGTAGCTAGGACTACAGGCATGCATCACTATACCTGGCTAATTTTTGTATATTTAGTTGAGACAGTGTTTCACCATGTTGGTCAGGCTGTTCTCCAACTCCTGACCTCAACTGATCTGCCCACCTTGGCCTCCCAAAGTGCTAGGATTATAGGCATGAACCACCATTTCCAGCCTCAAAAATGGATTTTTCTTTTTTTTGAGATGGAGTCTCACTCTGTTGCCAGGCTGGAGTGCAGTGGTGCGATCTTGGCTCGCTGCAACCTCTGCTTCCCAGGTTCAAGTGATTCTCCTGCCTCAGCCTCCTGAGTAGCTGAGACTACAGGGACGAGCCACCACGCCCAGCAAATTTTTGTATTTTTAGTAGAGACGGGGGTTTCACCATGTTGGTTAGGATAATCTCTATTTCTTGACCTCATGACCTGCCCACCTCGGCCTCCCAAAGTGCTGGAATTACAGGCGTGAGCCACTGCACCCAGCCAAAACATGAATTTTTAAAGTTTGCATGTGTCTTAAAAATTAATGCTTTTGAAGGTTATCACTTAGAGAAACATTTTAATATTATAGACAGAACTGATGTATGATGATTACAGAATACACCTTGGACTTTTAAAGAAACTACCAACAACTTCAAAATGAGAAGAAATAACTTGAGACAAATATCTAAGTAAGAAAAATTTCACATATGCTATAAATGCACACAAAACTATAAATGTAAATCAAATGAATAAAGCACATAAAAGACGCCGCAGCATTCTTTCTGGCATAAAGAATATCAGTGGGTCACACCTGTAATCCCAGCACTTTGGGAGGCTGAGGCGGGTGGATTGCTTGAGTCTCGGAGTTCGAGACTAGCCTGGGTAATATGGTGAAACCCCATCTCTACAAAAAATGTAAAAAAGTAGCCAGGCGTGGCCGGGTGTGGTGGCTCATACCTGTAATCCCAGCACTTTGGGAGGCCAAGACAGGCGGAACACCTGAGGTCAGGAGTTTGAGACCAGCCTGGCCAACATGGTGAAACTCCGTCTCTACTAAAAATACAAAGATTAGCCAGGCATGGTGGAAGACACCTGTAATCCCAGCTACTTGGGATGCTGAGGCAGGGGAATTGCTTGAATCTAGGAGGCGGAGGTTGCAGTGAGCCAAGATCACGCCACTGCACTCTAGTGAGATTCTGTCAAAAAAACAAAAACAAAAACAAAAAAGTAGCCAGGCGTGGTGGCACACGCTTGTAGTACCAGCTACTTCAGGGGCTGAGGTGGGAGGATCACATGAGCCCAGGAGGTTGAGGCCACAGTGAGCCATGACAGTGGGCAGCCAGGGTGAGACCCTGTCTCAAAAACAAAACAAAATTAGTTCTGGCAACAAAGTCTGCATTGCTAATTAAATACGTAATGTGACTAATAAAAAAATAAAACTATCTTTTATTAGGAGAATATGTCAGGCAAAAATAGGCAAGGAATTTCAAAATAATTCTGCTGTAAAAAGATTAAAAAATAGAAAATATTCAAAGAAGTCGATTGAAGAACAGAGATTATTATCCCAATTATGGAATATAGTTGTAAAAAGACAAAATTTAGGCTGGGCACAGTGGCACACACCTGTAATCCCAACACTTTGGGAGGCTGAGGTGGGCGGATCACTTGAGGTCAGGAGTTCGAGACCAGCCTGGCCAACATGGTGAAACCCAGTCCCTACTAAAAATACAAAACACCCAGGCATGGTGGCATGCACCTGTAATCCCAGCTACTCAGGAGGCTGAGGCAGGAGAATCGCTTGAACCTGGGAGGTGGAGGTTGCAGTGAGCCAAGATTGTGCCACTGCACTCCAGCCTAGGTGACAGAGCGAGACTCCATCTCAAAAAAAAAAAAAAGAAAAAAAAAAAAAGAAAAAATTTAAATTATGAATAGATTTACAAGGAGGAATTAGCCATGAATTATGCTAAATTTTTAGGGAATAACACATTCTAAATTTACTAAATTCAATATTTAGCCAAAATGCAAGTAACTCAACAAAAATGATGTCTGTGGGAAAAAATATCTAAAAATTCAATCAGAAGGATGAGAATAAAAGCAATTGTATAAAATTATTAAACCTATCCTAACAAATTTTAATATATAAATTCAATCTCCTTTGACTTTACAATAAAGAACATTTCAAAAAAAGACAAGGGGCTCGTTCTGTCGCCCAGGCTGTAATGCAGTGGCAAGATCTTGGCTCACCGAAACCTCTGCCTCCCACGTTCAAGCGATTCTTGTGCTGGAATTACAGATGTGCGCCACGACGCCCAGCTAATTTTGTATTTTTAGTAGAGACAGGGTTTCACCATGCTAGCCAGGCTGGTCTGGAACTCCTGACCTCAGGTGATCCACCCACCTTGGTCTCCCAAAGTGCTAGGATTACAGGCGTGAGTCACCATGCGCAGTGTAATAACAGTTTTGTTTTATTTTTCTTGGAGACGGAGTCTTGCTTTATTGCCCAGGTGGGAGTGCAGCCCCGCGATCTCTCTGCTCACTGCAAGCTCCCCCTCCTCGGCTCACGCCATTCTCCTGCCTCAGCCTCCTGAGTAGCTGGGACTACAGGCACCTGCCACCACGCCTGGCTAATTATTTTGTATTTTTAGTAGAGATGGGGTTTCACCGTGTTAGCCAGGATGGTCTCCATCTCCTGACCTCGTGATCTGCCTGCCTCGGCCTCCCAAAGTGCTGGGATTATAGGTGTGAGCCACCACGCCTGGCCTTTTTTTTTGGACAGTCTTGCTCTATCGCCCAGGCGGGAGTGCAGTGACATGATCTTGGTTCACTGCAACCTCCGCCTCCTGGGTTCAAGCGATTCTCCTGCCTCAGCCTCCTGAGTAGCTGGGACTACAGGCGCCCGCCACCACACCCAACTAATTTTTGTATTTTTAGTAGAGACAGGGTTTCACCATATTGGCCAGGCTGGTCTCGATCTCTTGACCTTGTGATCTGCCCGCCTTGGCATCCCAAAGTGCTGGGATTAGAGGCGCGAGCCACCGTGCCTGGCTGTAACAGTTTTAAAGTGGCTTTCATTACTAATAAAAGGTTAACTGTTATTTTTGCTTTTTAAGACTGAAATTACTAATAAAAGAGAAAAACCAAGAGGCTAACCCATATATTACCATTCTTCTAATTAGAAAGAATTTAAAAATCCTACTACTTTCTAAATGCAGAGATCCTCAAATTATTACTCAGAAAAGAAAAAATTCTTACTCTGAAAAAATAACACTCCATATCAAGCTGTTGGTTCTATATGCAAATGCATTAATCATCTTTACTGTTTAAACAGCTTGTTTTCTTAAGAGGAAGATATACAAACATACTAATATCTTTATTTGATTCTTTATCAAATGTTTGCTTCTTACATTCAGGCCTCTCATCACATGAAATAACTGAAACATTTATTTTATATTTGTGTCAGATAATTCCAATGTGAAGTATTTTTTGTCTGATTCTCTTCATGGTTGTTTTCACAAGTGATATTTTTGCTGTGAGCTCACTTTGCTTAAGATTTTACTTGTGGAAAATTCTTTAAGGCAAGTTCCTTCAGAAGAGACTTGGATTTGATTTTGTTAGGTGGTTGGGGATATCACCATTATAGAACACTTAATCAAAATCTCAACTTTTTTTCTTTCTTTTTTACCATCAAAATAGTATGAATTCAGGTGAAAACCTACGCAAAAGCTAAGTCATAGTTATAAATTTTCATGGGAGATTTATTTTTCCCCATTTTAATCAATGACACATTTTAAGACAGACTCTTTTCCTTATAATCCCCCAGCCCCTGAAGGAAACTGGAGTGGGTTTATTTCTAGTTCACCACTGTGCTGAGAGTAGCTCGTTAGGATTCCAAAATAATCTGAGAGATGTGGCCACCTATGAGACATTCTATCCTGGACGGACCTTGGACTATACATTAGAAACGATCCTCAAGGTAAAGCAGTCTTCAGTGCTCTTTTTGGCTTTCTTGATCTGACTTTTCATTTAATCCCTAGCCCCCATTTTTCTTTCTGTTTTGCATGGTCATGGATACATTAAAATAAAAAAAAAATTTACCCAACATTTTAAGTTGTTTTTAACTTCAAAAGAGTTGTTCACTTTGTGTCTCTAGGTATCATACTGCCAGAATCAAAAGCTACATACTATTACCTTTCAATGATGTTATTCTTTTTTTTTTTTTGTGAGATGGAGTTTTGTTCTTGTTGCCCAGGCTGGAGTGCAATGGCACGATCTTGGCTCACTGTAACCTCTGCCTCCTGGGTTCAAGCGATTCTCCTGCCTCAGCCTCCTCAGTAGCTGGGATTACAGGTGCCCAACACCACATCCGGCTAATGTTTGTGTTCTTTTTTTTTTTTTTCTTTTGAGACAGAGTTTCTCACTCTGTCGCTCAGGCTGGAGGGCAGTGGTGTGATCTGAGCTCACTGCAACCTCTACCTCCTGGGTTCAAGTGATTCTCCTGCCTCAGCCTCCTGAGTAGCTGGGACTACAGATGGGTACCACCATGCCCAGCTAATTTTTGTATTCTTAGAGACGGAGTTTCACCATGTTGGCCAGGCTGTTCTTGAACCCCTGACCTCAAGTGATCTGCCTGCCTTGGCCTCCCAAAGTGCTGGGATTATAGGCGTGAGCCACCATGCACGGCCTCAATGTTATTCTTTTTAATAGCATGTTACCTATCAGAGCTCTTGTGTCTACTACAGTGATTTTATATAAGAAGTTTTAATCTGTGTGCGTGTGTACATATATATACACACACATAACTATGTGTCTTTTGCTTGAAGATTCTGGCTCTTCCCAAAGAGGTAAATGTATACTTACTCATAAGATAAACCAAGAACTGGTAATAATCATATATTTTATTAAATATTACAATAATTTATATTATACAATAACAGATAATAGTAAATTATTAAATAGTTAAGCAAGGTTATTATTTCAGTAATAACCCTTCTGCCTACAGAAACTCTTACTTACTTTGGAAGGAGAACCATCAGTAATTTTCACCAACTGCCAAAGAATCGAGTAATGGGAACACTGCAGTGCTTGCACGACTATCTGTATCAAATGAAAAAAAAATTTTTTAATGAAAAATTCAAAAAAAATGAGATAATCTGTTTGCACTGTGCTAAGATAATAATATTTATCACAGTTGTTATTTGATAGTATAGCTTCAAGTCCAAATTTTTGTACAATTAATGAGAATGTATAAAATATTTGGTTAAAAAGGACAAACCAATATATCAATCTGGAGAATAAAGACACAACATATGGGAATAAATATAGATTGAAATAGCACTATGTTTAAACAAAAATGTAGTGTCATGAATATTTTGCTTAGTCAAATTTTTAAAAGGAGACTGATGAAATTATTTTTATCCAAATTTTATAGTTGAAATAACTGAATCTAAAGTATTTACCCACATTTTATAAGAAAATTTCTACTTGTTTTAAAGAACTTTAATGTGAAAATAGTCACATCAAAAAGTACACTTATGAGTATAAAGCTTAATGAATATAAAGCAAAAAATACCTATGTAACTACCACCCACATCAGGAAATAAAACATTGCTAGCATCTCCTCCCAATATAGCATCTTTTTTCTCCCAAGGGCAACAGTTATTATGGATTATTTGGGAATTGGCATATTTTAATTACCTAAGTCTGCATTCCTAAAGATTTTTATGCATATCATTGAACAATACATAAATGTAATCATACAATATGTATTACTTTGAGTCTGACTTTTTCATTTAACATTTACGTTTCAGATTTATTGATGTTGCACATACCTAGAGTTCATTAGTTTTTAGTTCTGTGTAATATTTAGAATACTCTCTATTCATCTATCATTGATAAACTTTTACACTGCTTTGAGTTTTAGGCCATTATGGATCATATTGCGATGAACACGCTTATAGATGTCTCTTGGTGCACTCTGCATGCATTTTTCTAGGGCAGAGGTTTTCAGAGTTTTTAGTTCTCAGGATCTGTTTGTACTCTTAAAAGTTACTAAGAGTCCAAAAGAGTTTTTCCTTATGTGGGTTATATCTCTCAATACTATTGTATTAGAAACTAAAACTAAGAAATGTTTATAAAATACTTAATTCACTTAAAAAATTTATTACATAACAAATAATAAAACTTTCTGAAAAGAAATAAACTTTTTTTTTTTTTTTTTGAGACAGGGTCTCACTTTGTCACTCAGGCTGGAGTGCAGTGGTGTGATCACGGCCACTGTGGCCTCAGCCTCGCTGGCTCAGGTGGCCCTCCCACCTCAGCCTCCCAAGTAGCTGGGACTACAGGCATGCACCATCATGTCTGGTTAACTTTTGTATTTTGATTAGAGGCGGGGTTTCGCCATGATGCACAGGCTGGTCTCGAACTCCCAGACTCAAGCAATCCACCTGCCTTGGTGTCCCATACTGCTAGGACTACAGGTCTGAGCCATGGTACCCGATTATCAATAAATTTTCTTTTTTTTTTTTTTTTTGAGACAGAGTCTCGCTCTGCCGCCCAGGCTGGAGTGCAGTGGCGTGATCTTGGCTCACTGCAAGCTCCGCCTCCCGGGTTCACGCCATTCTCCTGCCTCAGCCTCCCGAGTAGCTGGGACTACAGGCGCCCACCACCTCGCCCGGCTAGTTTTTTTTTTTTTGTATTTTTTAGTAGAGACGGGGTTTCACTGTGTCAGCCAGGATGGTCTCGATCTCCTGACCTCGTGATCTGCGCGTCTCGGCCTCCCAAAGTGCTGGGATTACAGGCTTGAGCCACCGCGCCCGGCCAATAGATTTTCTTTTCTTTTCTTTTTTTTTTTTTTTTTGAGACAGAGTCTTGCTCTGTCGCCCAGGCTGGAGTGCAGTGGCATGATCTCGGCTCACTGCAAACTCCATCTCCCGGGTTCAAACAATTCTCCTACCTCAGCCTCCCGAGCAGCTAGGACTACAGCCGCACGCCCGACTAATTTTTTTGTATTTTAGTAGAGATGGGGTTTTGCCATGTTGCCCAGGCTGGTCTCGAACTTCTGAGATCAGGCGATCCTCCCACCTCTGCCTCCCAAAGTGCTAGGGACCACAGGCGTGAGCCACCGCACCCGGCCCCAAAACAAAATGATTTTTTTTTTTTGAGATGAAGTCTCACTTTGTTTCCCAGGCTGGAGTGCAATGGTGCATTCTTGGCTCACTGCAACCTCCGCCTCCCGGGTTCAAGTGATTCTCCTGGCTCAGGTTCCGGAGTAGCTGGGGTTACAGGTGCCCGCCACCATGCCTGGCTAATTTTTGTATTTTTAGTAGAGACAGGGTTTCACCATGTTGGCCAGGCTGGTCTCGAATTGCTGACTTCGTGATCTGCCTGCCTCGGCCTCCCAAAATGTTGGGATTACAGGCGTGAGCCACTGCACCCAGCCTCAAAATAAATTTTCTAAAGGAAAGAATATTTAATAAGAGTAGCACTGTTTTACATTTTTGCAAATCTTTAAGGACTGTCTTAAAACAACTGAATTTTCCTGTTTTGGATTATGTTACAATATATTGTTTTCATTGAAGTATACCAAAAAAACCCAGTCTCACAAAATAGTTTGGGAAAAGAAGGTACGGTTTAACAACCTTTGTAGATAACATGAATATTCCTTGCTATGACACCAATACCCCACCTGTACACTTGCAAGAGAATGAGAGTGAAAAAACGAAATAACATCTTGATCTTATTGTAAAAATAGTTTTGACTTCATGGACCTCTCCTGGAAACCTCCCATGGGTTCCCAGACCGCATTTTGAGAATATCGATATTAAGTATGCTTTATTGCAGTAAGATACATCAAGTATTCAAACAAAAATGTAGTAAAAAACCTATCCAAATTGGAGCTCTCTTTTACGTTGTAATCTTTAATCAATCTTACTTTCCTGAATTCTGTTATCTGTCTCTCTGGAAAACAGAGACAAAATCCTATTCCTGACGCTCTAAGACTAGGACTTCTGGATCATACAGTATGTGTACGTATAATGTTATTAGATATTCCCAAACTGTTATCCAAAGTGTATCTACTAGTCATTGACAGTTGCTGTGTCTTCACATTTCTACCAACACTTGATATCAGATTACTTAAGTTTGGAAATTCTATTACATATGAGTAGTGGTTTTAATTTTACATTTCTCTAAATACAACGAGGATGAGCACCTTTTCAGTTTTTTTTTTTGAGACGGAGTCTTGCACTGTCGCCCAGGCTTTGGATAGGTCTTTTATTGCATTTTTGTACACAAAATGTTTACTACACTTTTTGAATAAATGATGTATCTTTTTGCAATAAAGCATACTTAATATTGATATTCATTTATTTTATTTTATTTTTTGAGATCGAGTCTTGCTGTCCCCCAGGCTAGAGTGCAGTGGCGGGTTAAACGGTTCTCCTGCCTCAGCCTCCTGAGCAGCTGGGATTACACGCCTGGCTAATTTTTGTATTTTTAGTAGAGACAGGGTTCACCATGTTGGTCAGGCTGGTCTCTAACTCCTGACCTCAGGTGATCCACCTGCCTCGACTTCCCAAAGTGCTGGGATTACAGGTGTGAGCCACCGCGCCCAGCCAGTATTCCATTATTTAATCAGTAAATTTATCTAGTGTCACTATTATCTTCTCCACTGGATAAACTACAAACCATAAAGGTAAACATATGTAGATAGTAAGTTAAAAGGGAAATCAATAAGTAGAATGCTGCAGGAACTAGTTGTGAGTTACAGCTGATTTTACTTTTTTTTTTTTTTTTTTTGAGATGGAATCTCACTCTGTCACCCAGGCTAGAGTGCAATGATTCTAGCTCATGTCTTGGCTCACTGCAACCTCCTCCTCCCGGGTTCATGGGATTCTCCTGCCTCAGCCACCTGAGTAGCTGGGACTACAGGCGCTTGCCACCATACCGGGCTAATTTTTGTATTTTCAGTACAGATGGGGTTTCACTATGTTGGCTAGGCTGGTCTCGAACTCCTGAGCTTGTGATCCGCCCACCTCAGCCTCCCAAAGTGGGATTACAGGTGTGAGCCACCATGCCCGGCCTAGCTGATTTTACTTTAAAATTTTCAGGTTTCAGGCCAGGCGCAGTGGTTCATGTCTGTAATCCCAGCATTTTGGGAGGCCAAGGCAGGTGGATCACCTAAGGTCAGGAGTTCCACACCAGCCTGGCCAACATGGTGAAACCCCGTCTCTATTAAAAATACAAAAAATTACCGGGCGTGGTGGTACACACCTGTAGTCCAAGCTACTTGGAGGCTGAGACGTGAGAATCACTTTAACCCAGGAGGCGAAGGTTGCAGTGAGTCGAGATCATGCCACTGTACTCCAGCCTGGGTGACAGAGTGAGACTGTCTAAAAAAGAAAAAAAATAATAAATTTTAAGGTTTCAGATCACTCAAGCAAAAGATACTTCCAATGTGCCTACTTGAGACTGACAATAACTCTTAAGAATTGGAGGTATGAGGAATAACTGGTCCTGGGTGCAGTGGCTCATGCCTGTAATACCAGAACTTTGGGAGGCCAAGGTGGGTGGATCACCTGAGGTCAGGAGTTATAGACCAGCCTGGTCAACATGACAAAACCCTGTCTCTACTAAAAATACAAAAAATTAGCCAAGCGTGGTGGCACATGCCTGTATTCCTGGTTACTGGGGAGGCTGAGGCAGGAGAATGATTTGAACCTGGGAGGCAGAGGTTGTATGAGTCAAGATCACACCAATGCACTCCAGCCTGGGCGACAGAGCCTGACTTAAAAAAAAAAAAAAAAAGCAAAGAAAAAGAAAACAAAAAAGGAAAGAAAAAAGAATTAGAGGAATTTAGAGGAATAAGTGGTGCTGCCTTTGGTGCAACATTAATGAGATCATGTCAGGATTTTATTAAACATAATTAAATGACTGACTCATGTCAGAATGCAGAAAATAGACTATTGGAACACTGTCAAGTTATAAACATTAGTGCTAAACAAATCACCCTACTACACTAGAAGATGTTCAATGGTCCTGAGATACCTTAAGGTAAATTCTAAATTGTAATATTAAGTACAATAATAATGAGGTCT